GAGTCACGCTGGACGGAAGTGTGGCAATCATGCAATGTGAGGTGCAACTGAAGACATTGCTGTTAGCACTATCATGTGTTCATGCTTGTGACATATCACGATTGACGAATGATGGTGGCGAAATATTTTCCTTCCGAGTTGTTTCATAAATCTAAAATGTTATGATTTATCTGCCACGTTTCCCGATCAGTCAGGTTAAGACCCTTCCGGCCATAGCAATGGTATGTCTTCCGCTTCATTTCATCTCACGGAGGGCACGCGCCAGTTGTCATCCGTGGGAACACGTCCCGCTGCACGTGGCGTGTCACGTGCCGCGGCGACCCGGCCCGTCCTGACCCGCCGACCAGGCACGTGGCACGACGTGACGCGTGCCCGTCTACGTGAGGTCATTTACCGTGACGCTGACGAGCCCCGGCGCCAACCAGTGGCCGTCTCGGGGTGGGATGTCCCCTCGACATGCTGTCTGTGGCCACTGGCCGTCTGCAGAGCCGGGCAGATGACATCGAGCTAGCATGATTCTGCTCACTAATTGGGCTATATGTGGCATGTCCGAGCCAATGGGATTCCCTCCGTTATCCACATTAGTGGCAAATGGAGAACCCTTCGATGTCCGACCGGACCTTGCAGAAAGTCCCTTCGCCGTACTATACCCGGTGCCCGAGGCAGCTCCTTTGGCGACCTAAGCTCGAGCCAGTTTACTCTCTGGTTCGGTCTCTGCACACATTCAACACGGCAGCATGCTCGCCATGCAATATATGTGATCCTGCAGCACGCTGAATTCATGCGGAACATAGGAATGAGTAATTCGGCCCCTAAAGTAATGGCGATCCCGGCAGGGGCTGCAGGGCAGTGACACTATACGTGGGTCGCTCGTGCACTGGGCGAAGGGCTCAGTCCCAGGCGGTCGCCCTGATGGAACTAATTCCCATGCATTGGGGCACTTTGGCCTGAATTTCGATTGGACGCCCGTAGACGAGGTTATGCTAATTTATGGCTAGTTTTGCTCCGCAGATCACATTCCCATCCATTTCCATCCAGTGGGACGGCCGTTTGACGAGACCGTTTTAAAATAGAGGGCCGCTATATATGTAGTCTATATGCCTTGGAACATTTGCAGATATTGTGACATTATGCATTGTATATTTTTCTAACGATCGCCGTCTTATTATCGCATTGACTGTCGCTATTTTTATGTCAACATCTCTGCTATTAATGGTCGTCATTCATCGAGACCATTTACTTTCCGACCACGAAGAGCGGAAACTGCTCTTGCCGAGTCCCGACCAGAGCGTTAGCCGCGGCAGTGTTGATAGCAGGATGGATGAAGCCTGTTTTTGTGGCCGTTTTATCGCGTTCTTCTGTCGTTTGGTCTGTTTATCAGGGCAGTGGGGCGTAACAGCTCGTGGTTTCCTTCAGGCTCATAACAGATAGCTCAACGGGGACAGAGGATTACAGGTACATTGATCAAAGACCTGGCGGCCCACCAGCGCGACAGCCGGTATCAAACTTGCTCCCTATCGTAAACAAAAATATTGTTTCGGCTCAGTTTGCATAAAATGTTCCGCAAGCCTCCGCGCCGTTTGGCGCTGCAATGCGGGCATCCTAAGTCGTCTTTGAAAGCTGGAACTTCCGCGTTTGGCACACGCCAGATTCCTCGCCGGCATATCTGCATTGGAATTGAGCGGGTTTCAGCTCGGCTGCCAAGAACAACGCGTTACTGTCGGGCCGGTTTACTCCCCGAGAATAATGCATTCCACCCAGGGCGTGTCGCTCGCCGGAAAAAGTCACTCCTCTCTCGGATTGTGCCTCTCTTTCCGCTGTTGTCGCCAGCATTGGACTTTGTATAAATAATCTAGCCGCATTGGCGCAGCGCTGCGGAGTCATTTGCCTTGACTGTTCTACTGCCGCAGCATCGCAATGCGCCGGGGTGGGGTGGGGCTGATTCGCCGCTCCGTCGGTGGGCTCCCGTGTGGCTCCGCTGGGGCCGGGCCGCCAGCAGCCCCGCTCATGCATCACGCTTCATCACGTGATGAGCCGATCATCCGGGCCGATCGCCGGCGGGCCGCCGTCGCCGCCGGCCGCGTCGCCTCCTAATCCCGCGGGGCGGTGTCGCCGTATCCCTATCCCACATCGCCATTGATCCCAGCACGGAGACGTGGCGACACGAACGGCCGACGAGCCCCGCGGGAGGAGGCGCCGAGCCGCTGGCGGGGGAGGGTGGGGTCTGTATCCCTTCTAGAAGAGAGTGGGAGGAGTCGCTTGCTAGGGATAATAGAGCAATGCCCACTGTCCATTTGCCCTTTTTTGGTGTGTTTGTGTGTAAGGAGGGCTGCTGCTTCTCGCATGAGCAGACAGAGACGCCCGGCGCTGTCCTGAGAAGGACAAATGTTTCTAGTGACGGCCGAAGGACCACCGGCGCTCATGGGACAGAGTGCCGGCTGCGGACACCCCGGGGACAGCCGGGTGGCTGCAGCTGCGCCGACCGAGTGGGGCCATGAGCAGCGGTCGCCGCAGCGCCCGGGCCCGTGAGCAGAGCGTGTGATCGATGTTGGACGGTTTGTCTTGGCGGCCGGTCGGTGGGCCGCTGACGGTCTGCAGCCGGCCGCCGCACCGGGCACGTCTGTCACGGAGTTACAGCCGCCCCGCCCCCGCCCCCGCCCCCGCCCGCGCCGATCGCCGCCCATCGCCGGCACTGCGGGAGGCGGAGGACAGAGAGGACGCTGGCCAGGAGAGAGGTTCGGCTGCCGGCGGCTGCCTCCCGTCCCCCCCCCCTGCCCACCCAGTTCCCCGCCCCGTCCAGAACACACGTCTGTCTTTCTGCGCTGCTATGCACGATGTTCCTGTCTGTACCAGCTCGCGGGAGACGGTTCCGCTTCTGACGCGATGAGTGCAGTGCCATTCCTGCCTGTCAGTCTGACGAGAAGAATGATGGAAGAAAAACGATTGCCACACACGTATAGTGTTCGCGAAAACTATCTTTTAAATGCTACAAAAATAAACAACGAGTCGAGTTATCAAATGTTTGTAATTTTAATTGCCTGAATATTTGCCAGCAAGCTATTTCCCCATGATTAATGGTTCATGATGTTTGTGTGTTTTGAAAAGCCAGTGCATGCATGTAACGAAAAACTTTATAACATTTTCGTAAGAGGAGCTTCTCCCCTTGCCGAGTATCTGTTGATTTTTCCGTGTGGCACGGTGTTTTTCGTTAGTGCTGTCTGCTCAGCTCGGTCGGTCGGCTGCGCTGACAGCATCCTGACGGATACAGGGACGATGGTCGGCCGCGGGGTAAGAGGCTGAGTAGGTAGGATAGAAAAGCTGGCCGGGGCAAAGGGGTAGCCGAGTGAGCAGGGGAGACAGAGGAGCTGGCCGGGGGATAGGGGTAGCCGGCTGAGCAGGGGAGACAGAGGAGCTGGCCGGGGGATAGGGGTAGCAGGCTGAGTAGGGGAGACAGAGGAGCTGGCCGGGGGATAGAGGGACCGAGTGGGACAGAGGGGTCGGACGGGGTAAAAGGTTGGGAGGGTGAGTGGGGCAGAGCGGTCGATCTCAGGGCATAGGGATAAGAGGCTGAATGGGGCGGGACAGAACAGCCGGCCGGATATACTAGGGCCTGTTGAAAGACTGGGACAAGGATGCAGGCCCGGGGCAAACGACTTAGATATTTAGGTATATGTTTACCTACTATTTATGAAATATTTGCAAACTGCCCACATGTGTGACTTCGCAGTACCTACTGTCAAGTGGCAGTTACTGGGCGTAAAATATTAAAACCCTCAGGCCTGCTAAAAGGCAGTTTTCAAGGTCCTGGATTGCTTGTCTAGTCTAGTCTATTTATAGCACTATTATTCAGTTCGCGATATGGAACATTGGCCACCTATTTGATCCGTTCGATCCATTATTAGCATCTGCCAAATTTTAGTCGTTGTTTTCGTAGGTTTTCCGCTTTTCGAATGAAATGCCAATTGTTTTGCTTTCTTGGTTCCATGAATTTCAATCAAATAGGCACCAAATGTGCATTGTGAGCATAGCTTATATTAGAAGGCTTTTATATTCGTCAACGTTCAATTAACATGAAAGCAGCACATTATTAGATTCCATGCATTTTCAACATAAATTTATCAGTAAAACATCTGCTAACAGCCATAGGCAATAGTCGTGGTGCATTGTGTGTATTGACCCAATTCACTGAAGAACAGGAAACACTGTACTATCAATTTTAGCGTTCCTTGCACTTTGCAGATTTGCTACCTTTTAGCTGCCATTTTCATTGTACCTAATGGAGCATTTGCAAAGTGCCTGCCTGCGTGTGTGATCTGTCGGTACTGTACGTACATGCATACCTATTACCTATACATACTGCAGTGACACCATTTATAGCATTAGAACATAATCCATGTTGACAGTTGACGACATTGTTGGTCTCAATATAGCCTCCCAGATACACTGTAATTTTCTTCACCATGACGGTGCAATAAAACATAATGCGATTGGCACGTGCCACCCGTTCGAATGTCTTAGACCAGGCGCAGCCCTGCAGTTCCACCGATAAAACTCCCATTACGGTGCCACCAGTCGTAAGGAGCTGCCCATCGAATCAAACTAAACTCGCACTAATTGGCCATTCCGCGTCACTGGCGGCGGTACGTCAGTTGGTCGGAGTGGCAGACCGCAGTCCCCCACCCCCTCCCCGGTCGGCCAGGGGACCCGGGACCCACTGCCCGCCGTCGTCCGGTGCGTGCTGTTCGGCCGCCGCCGGCAGCGCCGATTGACGCCCATTACTTCATAAAGCCCACCCATTTATTGTTTCATTGAGCTCGTTGTGAGAACCGGCTGCGGCGCCGTGGCACGAACGCTGCTCTGATTGGCTGGCGGTGCCGCCCCGCCCCCTCGGCTCAGACCGGTCTCGTCTGACCCCCGCCAGGCGGCGCTGAGCCAGCCGGGTAAGCACTCTTAGCGGCGCTAAGTCGGCCCCGGCGGCGGCGGCGGCGGCGCCAACATATGTGCCGACCAACAGTCGGTCGCGGCGGGCCAATTGAGAGGGTGCCGGCGGTGGGCGGTGGGTCGGTCGGGCGCCCGTCGGCAGTCGGTGGCCGCGGGTGGTGTCGGTGGGGTGTCGCACCGAGTGTCGCCGGGTCAGCAGTGTCGCGTGCCGCGCGGGCCGCCGCGCCGCGCCTCTGAGCGTCGGTCGTCTCTGACATGGGTGTGGTGACCGTGGAGCGCAACATGAAGCTCAAGGACAAGCGCTACGTGACGCCGCACGAGCTGATGCTTTACAAGCCGCTCAGCTCTGAGACCAAAAACAATAAGGTGAGTGCCGAATTAGTTCGTCAATTCTTTAGCCGAAGGGAGCAACCAAAAGTGTGATTCGAGGACCAGAAACTATCGGGAACCAAGAACTATCCGGGTGGAAGTAAGGCTTTCTACAATTCCAATTGGCTATAGTTGAGGTTAAAATCATTTGACAGTAGCCGTCCCACGAGCCTTCTCCTGCATAATTAACGTCGAGTGCAACATTCGCTCCTTCCTTTACCTCATACACGCTCGATAATTTGCATCATATTTACATTCATAAGAGGGTGGAAATGTGGAGCTCGCTTAAATCCTGCAATTTTTCAGCAGTTCGGCGAAACTTTAAAATGCCATTTAAATGTAAATGCGCTGCTCTGACAGCCTGTGCAGGCTCGTGGCTGTTTTTGGCTTGTGGACTGCCTGGACTTGGACCGGTGAAGAGTGGGAAGCAGGGGGGGGGGGGTCCTTACAATGCAGCCCGCCGACCGGCCCTGTTGAGTATGCGACCGCTGTGGGAAGCTTGTATGAGCTTCCGTCCGGGCTGACAGCTCACTGGGTCGGCTGCTCAGCGTTAGGGGCTGGAGCAGCCGCCCTAAAAGGAGCTGGCATGTTGGTCCGCCCACCGCGCCGGCATAAAATCGGACAGACCTGGCTTCGGCATTGATGCCTACCATTATGCATTTGTGTGCACTCTCCTCAAAAAGAGGCGCTGGAATGCACCCTTGCTATAGTCCTTTCTTGAAGACGCGCAATGTTGCGCCCGTGGGCCGTGGGAGTCGCTCAGCCACTGTAAAGTGCAATGAATGCACCCTGGAGCAGCAGTCAAGGGCAGCGGTGTGGGCTCCAGACTGGCGGCGGCCGACGGTCGGATAGTGACGGGGGCAGGGCGGCCAGCCGTCGATTCCGGCATGTCGACTAGTGGTGCCAATTTCATGAAATTTCAATTCCAATTCCGATCCAATTCCAAGAAATTGCCAAGTAAATTTCCAATTTTGTCCAAAGCGGGTCCTATTCCAATTTTTAACGATTTTCGCATTTTTTGCGTAAATTTTAAAAGTGTTTAAAAGCGTTTTAAAGGCCTCCGTTTTAACCCGCGCACCGACGGGGGGGGGGCGGATATCCGCCCCCCCCTGAGGTTTTTCGCGAATAGCGGGAAAACCGCGGCGCGTAGCGCCGCGAAATTTGGTATGACTATTCCCTTATCAATTTTACACATGGTGTGCAAGTTTGAACCTCCTACCTTTCAAGGTCAGGTCACCAGGTCACTTTGAATGACCCAACCTCAAGTCACTGTTTTGCAACTTTGTCACCGTGCCAGAGCTACAGTAGATGTCGGAGGCCTTTGAAAGTCGCAGGATGTTATTAGGTCATTAGTAGCTACAATTTGTATATCTCGGAATTTTGATATCGGTGACCTAAGGTCAGGTCAATTTCGCGACCTCCCCATTATAAGTCAATGGGGGAAAAATCAACTCCCTGTTTTTACCACTAAAACGGGTCGGAATGGCCCCATATACCATACATGACTTCATATACGATCAACCTTCACTACCTTGAGGTCTGTTTTGCTGTTGGGCAGCTGTGAGGTCATGTGACGTCATCAAAGGTCACCAAAGGTTTTTGGCCAATAACTCCGTACAGCAACAAGATACAGACGCGTGGATGGTCTCATTGTGTTCAGCTCGTCAAGACGCATCGAATGATATACATGATGACCTCGAGGTCACGTGACCTGAGGTCAACCTTTGACCTTGACCTTTCGAGGTCAACATATATATCATTCGATGCGGATTGACGAGAGGATCACGATGATGCCCTTAGTTTGTTCCTATCTTCACTAATTCGAAAGTTATTCGAGAAAAACTCTCTCCAAATTTAGCGCCGCCATTTTGACTTTTTCGACCCCTGTGACGTCATCTTTGACCTGACCTGAAAATGACCTTAGTAAAAATTGTAGATCTTGACCGTGCGTATCCGATGCCGTTTACCGCTTGTCGCTATCTTGCTTCGTTCTCGAGATCTCAGGGGGGGGCGGTCATCCGCCCCCCCCCCCGTCGGTACTAAGTTGGCGCAGACCCCCGTCGGTGCGCGGGTTAAAATTTTAAATTTTAAAGGCCATGTGTTCCGATTAATTTCCAAAAAAATGTTAAGAATTCCGTCCAAATTCCAAATTGGAATTGGACAAAAATTGGAATTCCAAGAAAAGAAATTCCGATTGGCACCAATAATGTCGACCGTGTTTTGATTCCGCTCGTCTGGCGGGAGGTACCGGGCTCAACCAGCCACGCCCAAAACACCGGCACCTTTGTCATAAGCCCAAAATAAGCCGTGAGTCCTTGTAGCTCGGGCTTAGGGCCGTGCAGGGCCGTGTTAGTCCGTTATAGTGTCAGTTTGTGATTGGAGCAGCGGTGATGTACGATGTCGATTTATTTGTGACGTCAACCTTCATGGCTTTCCCATCTGGTTATACTTGTTTTACTTCACATTGTTTCTCTATTGTCATTGTTTGCACCAGTTTGCGAATAATTGTTGCAGGCTGTGGTGGTATTTAGGTACGCCCAGGTTTTTAATAACTGACCCTGTCAGATCTCAATAACTGAAAACTTCACGTCAACTGAACTGAGCTGCCAGTTCATGTCTAACATTTCCAGTCACTGCACCGTCGAATATCTGCTGATTAATTGACACACTACGGTCCGGGCGAATCGATGGACATCGGTCCGTTGCTGCATTCAATGCGCACTGCTTACGTCATTTCCATTCACTGCCCACTGGACATTGTGTACCTATGAATAGCTGGCACATCGTCGTCAAATATTGCCCTGCCCGTGCCACATAAACGTTTGTAGTCAGTCCAGTAAGTCGCTAGCTCGATGTGTGACTATTATGAGGGTATAAATGGCGTGCGTATGGACACTACAGTGGACTGCTTGTTTTGGGATTCATTTTTCTTGTGTCCACAGTGTGACTGTGGACATGAAACTGAAAGATGAATATTTTGTTATAGGCCGTTTTTGTGACGGTTAGCTGACACAAATTTGATAACATTTGGTGCGATTTGGTCAAATTAGGTTCGTAGTTGCTTTCAGCTTGTGTTGCACTATATCTGTTTTCGAATAAACCATTGAAATGAAACAAATTCACTGTATGAAAATATTTGTTGTAGAAATTCGGTCAAGTTCTGTGCATTCGGAAGATAACCCGTCGTCAAAACGGCTATAATAGGTATACATAAGTAGTGGACGTGGACGGGGATTGAAACAAGTTGAATTTCGCGAACGGAGGAAAGCTTGTATCTGAGGGTATGAAATTTTAATATATATTTTGCGCTATTTTGGCAGTCCTCTTTTACTCAAATGTTATACATACCTACCTAGTTATTTAATAGGTATGGCTGTTGGCCATCTAAGGCATCGATTTATGTACCTTCCACTCAGGTGCAATGAAACATACGGTGATCAGCATTGTGCTGATCGGCAGCCATTGTGGCTGTTTACGGGTCACGGCTGTCTCGCGGGAGTCCTTTACTGCCTTTGACCATTCCCATTCATTTTCTTCTGAACCATGTGCCCCGCCGGCGTCCATTCCATCGGTGCCACTTCCGCCACCGTGCTCTCTTCTGCAGATCTTGGTATTACCAGCGTACCGTTTATGCATACGTGCTCACTGGTCTCAGTGCTCCCACACCAACTCAACGATCATCACTTGCAGAGTGGGCCGCAGCACCATGCCGCGACCTCGCAGCGCCACCTCCCTCCCCCCTCCCCCATTCACCAGCCACGTATGGCCCCGGGCGTCGGGCGCGGGGCACGTTGCCGGCCGACCCCAGCCATTGTCGCCGATGGGCAATGCTGCACTTACAGTATACGATGAGCAATGCAATACTGGCACACGCCCGTGCGTTTGGTGTTGTTTGTTTTTTTTTTCGACGGCTGTTGTTTGCGACTTTAGTCGGCCAATACCAATATCAGCTCTTTGATGATGTGAATGGACTTATTAGGCAATGGTCGAGAAATATGTAATTCATTACAACTTCGTATTATAAAGAATAATTAGCCTAATATCATTAACAAATGCTGTTTCAAACGACGATTTGTTGGTTCCAGTTTCACTACTTGCAGCGCTATATGAATGTAAAATTTATGGCACCGTTATTTCGATGTGTTCTTTTGATGAAAATGAGCGGTCTGATGATAAAAGCGGCAGTAACTTTTAGCTTTTTATTCTAACATTTTTGCCATAGTTCTTAATATCTTGCGCTAGATGGTTCTTATATTTTATATCGTGACCAAAGACTGTTTGTGCAGAACGAAGCACAACAATAAACAACAACTTCATACGAACGATAAGCCAAATGCAAAGACCAGTCGTCAGACATCCTATAGAGGATGCTTCTGCCTCAAGTTATTCGAGTCTCCTCCGAGTCTTCCTGATTTTTCGCTCCGTATATGTGAATTCCTCGATCATAAAACTGGGTGGTCGGTCATGCGGTTAACTCGTTACAGTTGGCGTTTGCGCGGCTCCTAAATGTTTAAAAATAGCAAACGACATCACAAATCTGTTCACGGCGTGACGCATACGACCATCTAAACGTCTGCAGACAATCATTCCGTACCTTGACAATCTGTTCCGTATCTCTCGCTGCTGTCATTTTTGGCTAAAAATCGTGCCGGTCAGTGCAGAAAGCCGCACGGCGTGTGACCCAAGATTGTTATGCCCCGTTAACATCCTAGTCGTGTTCAATGTACGCCAAAATTGCTCCGCTCAGCGATATTTTCGTCTCAGCAGACGGCGTCTCCATTGTTCGCGGATATCTCTGAATCTGTCGCAGAGCAGATACAGAGCAGAGAGATTCGCCGGCGATATTCGCCGATGCCCGACACTGAATTCGTCGTCGCGGAAACAACCGGAAGTCTTTGTGTCTCATCAGCAAAACAGTGTCGCAACTGATGATAAGACTCAAATGACGATGAAGTGCAGCTAAAATGGCGGTCTCTATTGAGATGGCCGCATACCTT